CAGGGAGCCTGATGTGGGACTCGATCCCGGGACTCCAGGATCATGACCTGAGCCGAAGGCAGTCGCTTAACCAACTGAGCCACCCAGGCACCCAATACTCCCCTTTTAATAATGGAAAGAACAACCGGACATAATATCAGTAAGGAAATAAAGGACTGAGCAACACTATATCAACTAGACTTAGCAGACATGTACAGAACACTCCCAACAAAAACAATGCACTAAAGAATTAGGAATAGAAGAGAACTTCCTCAGTCTGAAAAAAAAAAAGGTATTACTAAAATTCCACAGCTAACATTATACTTGGTGGTAAAAGACTGAAAACTTACACCCTAATACCAAGAACAAAATAAGAGTGCCCCATTTTGTCACCACACTTTAACACTGTACTGAAGAGAAAATAGAGGAAAAATAAATAAATAAATAAATAAATAAATAAATAAATAAATAAATAAATAAAATGTGTCAAAATTGGAAAAGAAATCAAACTATGTTCACAGAATACATGATCTTATATTTAGAAATAATCCTCAAAAGAACTATTAGAGATAATAAATTCATTGAATTAATACAATATCAACACTCAAAATTCAGTTGTATTTCTGTACACTAGCAATCAACAAATTGGAAGTAAGGAAACAATTCCATTTACAAGAGCATCAAAATGGATGGGAATAAGTTTAACCAAGGAAATGGAAGATTTGTACACACTGAAAACTACAAAGTTGCAGAGAAAGATTAACACCTAAATAAATGTCAAGATAGCCTGTGTTTGTGGATTAGAAGACATTAAGATGGTAGTACTCCCCAAAGTGAGATAAAGAGTAATGCAATCCCCAGCAAAATCTCAACAGCCTTTTTTGCACAAATTCTAAAACTCATTGATTTGGTAAGGACCAAAAATAACCAAAATTAACATGAGAAAGAACAAGGTTGGAGGGCCTAGAATTCCCAACACCAAACTTTTTTTTTTTTTTTAAGATTTTATTTATTTATTTGACAGAGACACAGCAAGAGAGGAACACAAGCAGAGGGAGTGTGAGAGGGAGAAGCAGGCTTCCTGCTGAGCAGGGAGCCCAACGCAGAACTCGATCCCAGGACTCTGGGATTATGACCTGAGCCAAAGGCAGATGCTTAACCAACTGAGCCACCCAGGCGCCCCCCAACATCAAACCTTACTACAAATCTTGAGTAATCAAAACTATAACTCCAGCAGAGCCTAGAAATATAGATCAAAGCGATAGAACTGAGCATCCATAAATAAACCCATACATCTATAGTCAATTCCTTTTTTATAAGGGTGCCAAAAACAGTGGAAAAAGAACACTCTATTAAATGGTGTTGGCACACTGGATATCCATGTGAAAGAGAATAAAATTGAAACTACCTTGTACCATATAAATAATTCAGAATTAATCAAAGACCAAATGTAAAAGCTAAAACTAAAACTCTTGGATGAAAACACAGAGGTAAATCTTCATGACCTTGGAGTTGGCAGTGGGTTTAATATATGACACCAAAAGCAAAAGAGAAAGAAAGTAGAGAAAGTGGTCATCATCAAAATTAATAATGTTTGTGCACTGAAGGACATTATCACGTAAGTGAAACATAATCTACCAAATGGGAGGAAATAGTTTGCAAATCATGTATCTAGTAAGGGTCTAGAACCTAGAATATATGAAGAACTTCTACAGTTCAACAACCAAAATAAAAAGAACCCAATTTTTAAAAATGGTTAAAGGATTTTAATAGATATTTCTCCATAGGAGATAAACTACTGAAACAGGCCACTGAAGAGAGGTTCAATGAAATTAGTCATTAGTGAAATGCAAAGTCAAAACCACAATGAGATACCATTTCACACCCACTAGGATGAGTATAGTAAAACAAAAAGTGTTGGTAAAGATGTGGAGAAATTAGAATCATGACACATTCTGTTAAAATGTTGTAGCTGCTGTGGAAAACAGTGGCAGATTCTTGAAAAATTAAACCATGTGACCCAGTAATTCCACTCCTAAGTATATAACCAAAAGAATTGAAAACAGGTATCCAAACACCTACTTGTACTTGAAAGTTCATAGCAACATTATTAACATTAGCCAAAGGTGATAACCAAATGCCCATCAATAGATAGTGAATACAGTCTAGTCCTATGATGGAATACTATTCAGCCATATAAAAAAGCAATGTACTGATACACACTACATCATGGATGAACCCCAAACATTATTCCAAGTCAAAGAAGCCAGATGCAAAAAAGTAACATTTTATACCATTCCATTTACATGAAAAATCCAAAATAGGTAAATCCATAGAGACAAAGCATTAGTGGTTGCCAGGGACTGGGGAAGAAAGGGGGAATAGGAAGCACTTGCCTAATGGGTAAAGGATTTCCATTGGGAATGATAAAAATGTTTTTGATCTAGACTGAGGTGATGTTTGTTCAACACTGTGAATGTATTAAATGCCACCGAATGGTACCTAAAAATGGCTAATTTTGTTATGTTGAGTTTCACTTAAGAAAATTAGAGAACTATAACTTGCTCAGAATTATCTTACACAGATCAGTCGGAACACTCACTCCAGTCAAGTCAGACTTTACACATCTCTGCTTCTTTTATTTTGTGTCAAAATCAGAACACTCTACCTCTCCGCTTGGTGAAATGTGTTTTCATTTCAGGGACGGGTGACCTTCAGGGATGTGGCCATAGAATTCTCTCCGGATGAGTGGGAGTGCCTGGACCCTGCTCAGAGGGCCTTGTACAGGGACGTGATGCTGGAGAACTACTGGAACCTGGTCTCCCTGGGTGAGGATAGTTTCCCTCCAGAAGTCGGTAATTACTTTTGTATATTTTTGCATTTTCTCTTTAGAGCCCCTGACTCGATTGTATGAGTTTCAAATCCCTGTTCTTAAGGGAGTGAGTGAAGCTGTTTTGATTGAGAATGGAAAGGCTTCAAAATGTCAAGTGGACTCTAACTTTCCTTTTCTTCAGAAGTTTTGCGTTTTCCTGCTTCATTAGGTGATTGCAGAACATTAATAGTCAGAAAACCCTACGGTGAATTTTTAAAAAATACCTGATTCTGTGGTCTTACCCTTGTGCTTTTGATTCAGTAGTTCTTGGAAGAGAACTGAATATCTGCATACATAAAATAACCCCAAGCATTCAGAAGGAGGCAGTTGACTAATTTTTGAACTACTTTTCTACGCCCACATATAATGAATGTCCTCTCTTCTTCACTGAACAGAGAGCCGGGAATATGTTCTGGAAGAGCAAAGCATATCTTGTTCTTTTTTCTTTATAATTTGAAGTCTCTTGAGCTGAATGTTATCTCCATTTGGAACAAGGGGAGGAGCCCTGGACTGTGGGAAGTGGAGTGAATACAGGGGGAAATGCGGACAGGTGGGAATGCATTGGGCTGTGAACACAAGTAAGAGGTCAGATGGGCAGAGTAAGCTTCTCCATTAAATATTGTCTAGGAAAGATCTATGGGAAAATAAAGAAGTTTCTTATGAGCTCTCAAAGAAAACCCTCCCCCCACCCCACACACACTTCTCAGTCTGTTATTCAAATGTGTAAATCAAATATGTAAAAGTTTAGACGCCCATTGTCATGACCTGCAGCATTCTTCCCTGGCCCTTCTGACCATACTGGTGCCATGGTTTGAGAGGGACTGAGATGGCTGCCTCTAAGGAGTCTTTCCCCTTGATTTCTCTTGGTTCTCATTCCATACAGATCAGAGCTGAGGCCTCTAGTGCTGACCCCAGGACCTATTCAATTTCCATTTCCATTTTATATCCTTGGGAGAACTTATCAGGAGACAAACAAAATGGCTGCCCTAGGGCTCCATGAGACTTCATGGAGCTGTGTCAAGCCCTCTCTGCCTGTTCAGGCCCCTCAGCCATTTCTCCAGTTCTCATTTTGCCATTCATGTCTAAAAAGAAATGGGGTGGGTCTTTCTGAGATTGTGGCCCAGCAGTAATCTAAATAGAGACTGAGATGCTCTCTGATCCCCACTGCCATATGGGGGTGTAGCCCAGTCATTCAGGCATTCGCCCTGCTGTCTGGGTAGAGCACACAGCCCCTTTCAAGAACCCCACAAAATTTGACCCTCTTATTTACTCCTGTATCTTGTATTTTTCTCCCTCTTCTGCTCCCTACTTAGTCCTGGAACATAGAAGACCCTGGTCTTCTGGTTTCTTATTCTCCTCTAAGATTTTGCCTCTGAGACTTGCTTTTATGAAATCCAGTTCCAAGGGTCTAAGGTTTCATCCTCTCTTCCTGCTGTGAGAATCCACCTTTAGGGGACACACAGCTTCACAGTGGACTCTCCCATGGAGGAGGTTTACTGGGTAACAAAATTCTTGAAGAAGAACATTGATTAGTGTGTTACAATATCATGCTGCTGCATAAAGAAGTGCTTCTTGAAGCCACCAGATGGAGTGGTCAGCATGTCCCAGGGTGCCGAGACAGAAGGTATCAGGAGATCGGAGTGATATGCCTCTAGTTGTCCTAGTTTCTGTGCAGTTTAACAGTGCTGCCCTAAGGCAGTGACAGTGTTGATCAGACATAATATGATCATCTCCTGTGAGCCGGCAATAAAATAGTCATCTGACCCTCCCTCCTGGCCTCTGCAAACATGGATCTCTTTACTGTCTCCATAGGTTTGCATTTCCCAGAATGTCATAAAGTAGGAATCAAACTGGATATATAGCCTTTTCAGTTTGTCATGCATTTGAGTTTCCTCCATGTCTTTTCCTGGCTTGACAGCTCATTTCTTTTTTAGTGCTGAATGAATAATATTTCCATTGTCTGAATGGACCACAGTTTATTTCTCCATTCATCTACTGAAAGACACCTTGGTGGCTTTCAAGTTTTGGCAATTACAGGTAGAGCTGCTATAAACATTCATATGCAGGGTTTGTGTGTGTGTGTGTGTGCACGCTATTTGGTTTTTGTAGCACTTCATTCCTTTTTATTGCCACATAATATTCCATGTATGAATACCACAGTTTATCCATTCATGCATCGATGGACATTTTGGTTGTTTCTACCTTATTACTATTATGAATAATGCTGCTATAAACATTTTTGTTCAAGTTTTTGTGGGGACATACACTTTTCATTTCTCTTTAGCATATAGCTGGGAATGGAACTGCTGGGTCATACGGTAATTCTCTTTAATCTTTTGAGGAACCGCCAGACTATTTTCCAAAGCAACGGCACCATCTTACATTCCCACCAGGGATGTATGAGCATTCCAGTTTCTCCATATCCTTACCAACACTTGTAATCTGTTTCCTTGATTATAGCCATCCTTAATTATAGCCATTCTGGTTTTGATTTGCACTTCCCTAATGACTAATGATGTTAGTCATCTTTTTGTGTGCTTATTGGCCATTTTTCTATGTTTTTCAGATTCTTTGTCCATTTTAAAATTGGATTGTCTTTTTGTTGTTGAGTTTTAAAGAGTTCTTTATATATTCTAAATGCAAGTCTCTTATCAGATAGATGATTAGCAAATATTTTCTTCCATTCTGGGGGTTCTCTTTTGACTTTCTTGAAGGCTGGGTTTAAAGGCTGCAGGTGATAATCTTTATTGAGATTTTGTTTGTAAACTAGGTTCCTCTAGGGTCTACAATAACAATCCGAAAATGGATTTTCATGACTGGGAGGATTTGAGGTTAAATGCTAAAAATTTCTCAATCTTAACTTTCCAGGATGAAAGGCACTTAGGCACATTTGGGAGCACTTTTTTTTCAACTCAGATCAGTTCCACCTGCAGCCTCTTGGAACTGTGTTCACACAAATAGTCATGTGGGTCACAACACCCACGATGCTCCCCTTGGACACCCCCCCACCCCGCTGTGCTTTACTGGCCATGCTCTTCCTATTTCAGTATTTCTTTTCCTGTTTACAAAAGTAAATTTCAATATATAAGATCATATTACCTGTTTTGACCAAGACAGAAATGTTTCACTACTGACAATGTTGGGTCCAGAGGACACAGAGTCACTTCATCTTACCAAGGAAGCCACCTTCCAGTAACCCTCTGGGAAGATGATAGTGTCCACATATAAGAAAGATCATACTGTATTGGGCTTTTTGGCTGACTTATTCCACGTAGCATAGTGTCTTCAAGGACCATCCATGTTGTCACAAGTGGCAAGATTCTATTTTTTTTTTTTAGGCTGGATAATATTGTATTGTATATACACATCTTTACCCATCAGTGGACACTTAGACTGTTTCCATATCATGGCTCTTATAAATAGTGCTGCAGTGAACAGTTTATCTTTTTGAGTTAGTGTTTTTGTTTTCTTCAGATAAATACTCAGAAGAATTGGTGGATCATACAGTAGTTCTACTTTTTATTTTTTTAGGAATGACCATACTGTTTTCCATACTGGCTACACCAATTTAGACTCCTACCAAGAGTGCACAAATTCTCCATCCCCTCACCAACACTTTTATTTCTTGTCTTTTTGATAAACTGCCATTCTGACAGGTGTGAAGTGGTATTTCATTGTGGTTTTGATTTGCATTTCCCTGATGATGAGTGATGTTGAGCTTCTTTTCATGGTTCTGTTGACCATCTGTATGTCTTTGTTGGAAAATGTCTATTCAGATCTTTTGCTCCTATTTTAAATTGGATTATTTGGGGGCTTTTAGCTATTATTTTGGATTATTAGCCCCTAATCAGATACATGATTTGCTAATATTTTCTCCCATTCAGTAGGTTGCCTTTTCATTTTGTTGATGGTTTCCTTTGTTGTGCAGAATTTTTTTAGTTTGATGTAAATCCCACTTATTTTTGCTTTTGTTGATTTTACTTTTGGTGTCAAGAGTGAGAAAAAATCATTGCCCAGGCCCGTGTCAAGTTGCTTATTACCCCCTATCTTTTCTTCTAGGAGTTTTATGGTTTCAGGTGTTAAGTTCACGTCTTTAATCTATTTTGGGTTAATTTTTGTGTATGGTATCAGATAGTGGTACAGTTCCATTCTTTTGCATGTGGCTGTCCAGTTTCCCAGTACCATTTATTGAAGAGACTGTCCTTTCCCCATTGTATATTCATGTCTCCTTTGTCATAAATTAATTGACCGTGTGTGTGGGTTTCTTTCTGCGTTCTCTTCTGTTGATCTCTGTGTCTGTTTTTATGCTAATACCATATTGTTTTAATTACCACAGCTTTGTAATGAAGGAGTTTGAAATCAGGGAACGTGATGCCTCTAACTTCGTTCTTCTTTCTCAAGATGCTTTGGCCATTCAGGGTCCTTTGTGGTTCCATACAGATTGTAGGATTTCTCTATTTTGTGCCCAGGTTTTTACATGGACATAAATTTTCAACTTATTTGTATAAATACGAAAGAGTTTGATTGCTAGATCATATTTAAGAGTATATTTAATTCTATAAGAAAGTGGTATACCATTTTGCATTCCCACCAGCAATGAATGAAAGTTCTTATTATTCCACATCCTCAGTAGTAGTTGGTATTTCAGTGTTCTGGATTTTGGCTATTCATAAATGTGTAGTGGTATCTTAATGTTTTAACACACATTTTCCTCAGTTAAATATATGACATTCTTTAAGCTGATAAATTGTGGTATCTTGAGGACATACTTTTTAAGTTACTGCCTTAGTCACAGAAATACCATTCAATTGACTTGCCTTAGCTTTTTGTATAAGATACATTATTTTTTCCCTTTATATGTAGTTTTCTGAAAATAACTTTTGAATTTAATTTTCATTTTACTTTTTCTTGTTACAAATAATTTATTCTAATATTCTTGTTTAGATTCATCATGTACATCTTGGTATACTAATCTAATATTTAGATATCTCATTTTATTGAAGGAAACAAAGGAAGTTTTTTTATACTCCATGGTTTCCTTATTACTACTGCTCCTAATACTTGGGTTTCCCAGAAAATTTCTTAAGCTCTTGAAATTATGTATCTCAGTTAACCCATGAAGCCTGCTTTGTTCCTGTCCTCATTTTCAACTGAACTCCATAAAAAAAGTCACCTGGTCCTTGTTGACACACATCCCATTGCTGTCCTTATTTTCTGTGATTGGCTGCTTATGTTGCTAACCACATCTATGCACATAGACCTCTGCCATGGACCATGGTGACACAGCCAAAAATTGTTTCTATGTTTAAATACTGCTATTAACATTGTCCTTCCATATAAACATTCTGTGTTCTAGATCATTTAGTAATGCTCCTAATTTCTGATGATGTTTTTGAAGTCAGATTATGTAACTATGTACACACACAACACACACATCTAGTTAAAAGCACTTCTCACCTGATGTCTCTTGTATGTCTGGGATTGTAATGTTAAAAGATTATGATTTCAGATAATTTACAAATTCCAGGAAAATACATTGATATTTTTCTGTAACAAGCAAGGACATTTGGATTAAAAATCTTATCTAAATTGATGTTTCTCTTTTTAAAAGTATATAATTTAGTTAATATGTCACTTTTTTACCAAATATAATAACATCCCCAAAGAATTTAAACCTTGGCAAAAGCTTCCTGCTAACTTATTTTCCACCATATAACCTTCGTGCCCCTAGCCAGAAGATTGTCAGTCATCCAGTACCCATGATCATCTTCCATTGCTGTACCTTTGAGAGTATTTTATTGTATCTGCATGTGTTTATACAGTGAGTTTATCCATTCTCCTCTTGATAGCCATATCCAGGTTTTTGTTTTTTGGGGGTCCTGTTAAGAACATTCTTAAATGTGTCTGGAATATATCTATATATATCTCATATAGTGTGTGTGTATACATATATATGTGTATATATATATAATATTGTAATTCTCTTGACTATATACCTAGAAATGGAATTTGTGGGATATTCAGTTTGATTTTTTTAGAGAGGTGTGAGCTGGGGTGGAGAGATAGGGGGAGGGGCAGAGGAAGAGGGAGAGAATCCCAGGCAGACTCCATGCTGAGTGTGGAGCCCAACATGGGGCTCAGTCCCATGACCCTGAGATCATGACCTGAGCCGAAATCAAGGGTCAGATGCTTAACTGACTGAGCCACTCAGGTGCTCCACAGTTTGATAGTTTTCAGAGCCAATACTGAAATAAATGCAAGCCTACAATCTTCCTATAACACCATACTGTCTCCCTGTTGAATGTCTTCCACTTTCACCTCATACCCATAGTGTAAGTTTTTACAGAATGAGTCAGTATTCTTCCTGTTGCCAATTCGGCTCCTCTCTTTTTTCAAGGTCAGGCTTTTAACTGTTATAACACAATCATATCACCATAGATGTGTAAGCACAAGCACTGCTCCCACTTTTCCTGTTACTCCTTGTGCTTCACTCTTACTTTTCTGAACCCAGATCCTGGCCTTTGCTCAGATTTTTCATTGATCTAAACAAACTACTGTTATCTCCTGGTATATTAATTTTGAGTACCAAAGCACCTCAGTTTCCACAGGACTTGCCCCTCCCCACACCGCATCACCCACACAAGGAAAGACCCCTATTCATACGCAGTACACCTTGCTCAGTACAGCAGTGTGATCTGGTGTTTAATAATAATGTATGGGGTATGATGAAAGAAAAAAGGTATTTTAAGAAAGCTGTGTGTTACAATTAAACAGTTGATAAATCTAGCAGGTTAAGTAACCAGTTACACAAAATAATAGTCTCTGGAATTCTAAAGAATTCTTCCCTGAGAACTAAAAGAATTTACATTCCATAAGGAACATACAGTAGGAGAAATGAAACACATGTTGAGAATCACTGAATTATGGAATAACAGGTTCAGATAAACACATTTTTAAAAAGATTAAGAATTAGGGAAGACAGAAACCTCAGTTATGATCTCATGTACAGTTATGTAACAGCCAGTATATAGATCAGCTCCCTAATCATGAAATATCAATTATCCAGGTATCTGGCCAAAAAATATGTATGGTATATAATGTATGTTTAGAAAACTTATCTTAAGATCAGAGAAAATAATATGGAAAAATTTATAAAAAGAAAACTTAAAAACATTATATATTACAGTAGTGTTTGTATATTACAGTAGTGTTTGAAGACTGTGCTTGAGAAATTTCTTATGTTCATTATAAGCATGTTTTTTGTATGAGTATGTAATTCAGTATAAAATATTTACCTTCTATTTGATAGGATGCCTTTCTGCTGGATTTGAAATCAAGGAATTACCACCAATAGAGGACATTAATGAAGGAGAATTATACCACTTAGTGATACTGAAGAGAAATGAAAGCCATAGCATCAAGGATTTTGATCTCAAGAAAGACTGGGAAAATATGCATGAGTTTGAGAGTCACTGGAGATATGATGCAAGAAATTACAAAGAAGTGCCTTTGACACATAACAAAAATCTCACTCATAGAAAAGATCAACAGCTTAATAAATCCTCAGTTACTTTTCCTCAAAAGCAGAGTATTTCTGTAAAAAATAATACATACCAATATTTCATGCCTGATGAGCCATCTGTAAGGCATTTGTTAAAACTGGAAAATAACATAAGTGGTGCTGGAAATTGGTACATAAACTTTTTGGGAAATAGAATTGGATTAAGTTTGCAGGCACACCTGGCTGAACTGCAGAGATTTCATACTGAGGAAAAAATGTATGAATGTAATCCGGTTGAGAAATCTCTGAACGATTCCTCTGTTTCACCACTTCAGAGAATTCCATCTAATATCAAAAACATTTGGAATAAATATAGGAAGATTTTAAAATATCCTTTGTTACCGGCACAATACAGAAGAGCATACACTAGAGGAAAATCTTACAACTGTAATGACTGTGGGAAGGCTTTTAGCAAAAGCTCAAACCTCATGAGTCATGAGAGAATTCATTCAGGACAGAGACCTTACAAATGTAATGAGTGTGGCAAAGCCTTTACAGAGCGTTCACATCTTACTCAACATAAGAAAATCCATACTGGAGAGAAACCTTACAAATGTAATGAGTGTGGCAAAGCCTTTAACCAGTGTTCGAACCTCACTAGACATCAGAGAGTCCATACAGGAGAGAAACCATATAAATGTAACATATGTGGCAAGGTCTGTAGTCAAAATTCAAACCTTGCAAATCATCAGAGAATGCATACTGGAGAGAAACCTTACAAATGTAATGAATGTGGTAAGGCCTTTATCCAGCGTTCACACCTTTGGAGTCATGAGAGAATTCATACTGGAGAGAAACCTTACAAATGTAATGAATGTAGCAAAGCCTTTGCTGAACGTTCAAGCCTTACTCAACATAAGAAAATCCATACCGGAGAAAAACCTTACAAATGTAATGAGTGTGGCAAAGCTTTTAAGCAGTGCTCACACCTCATTAGACATCAGAATACACATCCTGGAGAGAAGCCACACAAATGTACTGTATGTGACAAGGCTTTCATCCAAAGTTCTAGCCTAATAGAACATCAGAGAATTCATACAGGAGAAAAACCTTATAAATGTAATAAATGTGGTAAGGCTTTTATCAGACGGTCACACCTATGGGGTCATGAGAGAACTCATACTGGAGAGAAACCTTACAAATGTATTGAGTGTGGCAAAGCCTTTGCTGAGCGTTCAAATCTTACTCAACATAGAAAAATCCATACTGGAGAGAAACCTTACAAATGTATTGAGTGTGGCAAAGCCTTTGCTGAGCGTTCAAATCTTACTCAACATAGAAAAATCCATACTGGAGAGAAACCTTACAAATGTAATGAGTGTGGCAAAGCTTTTACCCAATTTGCAAACCTTACTAGGCATCAGAAAATACACACTGGAGAGAAACCACACAAATGTGGTGTGTGTGACAAGGCTTTTATCCAAAGTTCAAGCCTTATGGAACATCAAAGAATTCACACAGGAGAAAAACCTTATAAATGTAATAAATGTGATAAGGCTTTTATTAAACGTTCTCACCTTTGGGGTCATGAGAGAACTCATACTGGAGAGAAACCTTATAAATGTAATGAGTGTGGCAAAGCCTTTACGGAGCATTCACATCTTACTCAGCATAAGAAAATCCACACTGGAGAGAAACCTTATACATGTAATGAGTGTGGCAAAGCCTTTACGGAGCATTCACATCTTACTCAGCATAAGAAAATCCACACTGGAGAGAAACCTTATACATGTAATGAGTGTGGCAAAGCTTTTACCCAGTTTGCAAAACTTACTAGGCATCAGAAAATACATGGTGAAAAGAAACATTATAAATCTAGTATGTGTGGCAGTGGTTTTATTCAAAGCTCAAGCTTTGGGGATCATCAAAGAAATTACAGTAGAAAGAAACCTTACAAATAAAATGATTAAGCAAGTGTTCAAGCCTTATTCAACATCAGTGTTCCATCATGGAGAGGAACCATATGAAACTAATGTATGTGGCAAAGCCTGTAACCAGGGGTTTACACCTCACTTGATAAAAGAATATAAATCTCTAAAAGAAAGCACACAAATGTAATGTATGGCAAGGCTTATCCAAAGTTTATACCTTGTGGAACATAACAGTTCTTACTAGATAGAAACCTTACAAATGTAAGTGAGTGTGATCAGCTTTATAAAAAAATGTACAGCTTGGGGGGGAGGAATAGGGGAGTGTGACTAAAAGGTACAAATTTCCAGTGATTAAAAAAAAAAAAAACTACAACTTTGTGGTCATGAAAGAATTCATATGAGATGGAAACCATATAAATGTGTCAAGGTCCTTACCTCAGGAAACACCAAAGAATTCATACTGGACAGAAACATTACAAATATAATGAAGGTGATAATTTATTTAGCCAGTTCTCTCAATGGACTACAATAAGAAAATTCATACTAGGGGAAGTAGGTCTATTTTGAGGATTAACCAATCTTAGATATTAAATTCCACAGTAAATTTAAATTACCTAAAAATAGTGAGATGATGTGTATCAACAGAACAAGGGTATCTGTGGAAAGACGTAATTATCTTCAGCTTATCATTTTTTAAAATAGTTTAATATCAGCACCCCATGTGGAATTCAAACTCACAATCCCAAAATCAAGAGTCACATGCTCTTCTGACTGAGCCAGCCAGAAGCCACTATAATTTTTTTTTTACTCAGTTACTTGAGGTTTCCTGAGGCTGCATTATTATTGATGACTTACAACCTGAAGTTTGGAACCCAGTGATGTTACACTTTATTTACATGCATTTCATGTGTCACCATAATGGTCTCAGAAGGGATCGGTAAGGTGAAGACCTAGTTCATTAGCTGGGGCTTATTCATACCTGTGTAACCTGGAAAACCTAGGACACTAATTTTAAGATACAGTATGGTGTAAGTTTGAGAGCATAGGGAGTGGCAGGGAATAGTGTTACTAAAATTGCCATGTTTTCTGTGATCACAGCCTCTTCTCTAGATTTGTTGGTATGACTGAGGGCCTTCACTGATGATGAATACAGGAAAGGATGATGATGAAACACAGGAGGCCGGGGCTTTGAGAGAATGAGATTTTCATGTGAGTAGAAGGACAGGTTACCAGGGATGGCATATGTGGTAGAAAAAATGGAGGGGGAACGATGATCTCTCTTTTGAAAGGTAATAGTTGTGTATCACAGATTAGTAGAAATGAGTCTTATTTTTGGGAACTGAAGAGAAAGTTCTAGAGGACATTTTAATCAAAAGAACCAGAGTAGTATGCTTGTGAAGGATTCAAATTTGGCCACTGAAATTGCATTTTGATACCATTTTATTTAGGATATTATAAATTCTCATATCTAAGTAAGTAAAATAGAAACCTTTTTTTGTAACACTGAATGAACCACGTGCCTTTTATTAGCCCAAGTGCATCCCACACCTCATCGCGGCATTTTATAATGAACACTAATAATACATCCTTGGGCTCCCTAAGTTGAATGTCATCCCTAACAACTTTTTTTCCATGTTAGATTCACACAACTTCCAGTCTTGGAAATACATATTCATAATTTCAATTTGAAAGTGACACAATTTCAAACTCTCACCCTCTAAAACCTGCCTCCCTGTCCATGAACACACACTGTTCGATTACATTTCTACATGCCTTTCTTTTGTGCTGAAATGAGACCCATGGGTTGCACCTTTACATTAAATGAAAATTGAAAAATAGTAAGCATCTGGAAAGTATTAGGAAATAAAATTTCAGAAATAAAGATAATCTCTTTTGTGCTGGAGTGCTCAGGGGAATAAGTTGAAAAGATCAGTGTTCGTTGAGTTTACTCTCAAGAACGAAGATTGACACAATGGGATTCTTTTGATAACTAGCAGTCTCATATATTTACCCTCTAAAACATTTTTTGCTAGTTTGCACTTGTGCTTACTCCACTGGAAGAGGATGTTTGGACGTCATGAATGAGGACTTCATACAATAAAGTGTTAGGAGAACGTTTATTACATAATGATGCTTTCTGGGGAGAGTAGGACAGACCTCCTCAGGTTGTTCTAAAAATGGCTAGAGAATGCAGGGGATGATGACTGGCTTGTTACGATGGATACTATGTGGGGCTGGGGTGATGGCACTCACTTATGGTGTGAACTTTCAACTAATGCCAAGGGAAGGGGCTCTCGGGCTTTATTAGCGTGCCCTGCCCAGATGGGCAGCATAGTAAGAGGTTATAATGAGGCTTAACAGGTATCGTTCGTCAGACATCAAAAATGGAGTCAGACTGTTTACTCCTGACTTGTAGGGAAAGACCACAATCTTCCTCATGCTAACACACTACCTTCATTTTCCTGGTGCACGTACAGACCCCGCTGCACAATATGATTGTTGAAAATGGTGAAATCCTGTTTAGATAAATTACCTAAGGTATTTTTCCACTTACGATGTCACAATTATATTTCTATTAAGTTATAGTCTAATATTAAAATACATGTGGAAGTGATAGAATATGTCCCATCTACAAGCCTTTTGTAGATCTCTCACTTATTTTGAGATTCCAATGGAATGAATGGAATCTCAAAATAAGTCCTTTCATTTCTCTACCAAGATACTAGAATCAGAATATCTGTACTGAAACTTGGCAAATTATTTTAGTTTTAGGTTCAGATAAATTAACTTATAATAAATTTCAAAGGAAATAAATCTTTAAGTTAGAAAACGCTGAACTAGTAATTTTTGAATCTCATTTGGAACACCTATCAAGTCATGGGTTGCATGGAACATACTCTCAGGATAAAGAACAAAGTCCGCTGATAAAATCTGTCTCTTCCCAGTTACCCTTGACTACCTTGTCATATAATATTAATAAGGGGTATTTTTAATTTGGTCTGCAAAATGTTTTCTCTAACACCTTTTTCTTTTACCTTCTGTTGTTTAGGTGTGAATATGAGATTTGAAAAATCCCTAATATCCTTATTAAGAATTGCATTATTAAAATTTCTAGCTAATTGGAAAAACTAGGATTATCATTTCCATATAAGCAAGACAAAACCTAATGATGAAAAGGGCTTTGCCCCTCACCATTCACCCCCGGTCATACAGTGGCCGTCCTGCTGTAAGGAGAGAGGGCTGCTAATGGAGGTAGAGCAGGCAGAGAACTGCCCAGGGGACCTGTCACATCCAACACTACAACTCTGGGCTTCCTGTTACTTGGGAAATGATAAACCACCTACTTGTTTCAGCCACTGTTTTCCAGGAGGTCTGTCACTCACAAAAACTGTCCTGACAAATAAGATTCATATTTTGTATTGAGAGTAGAATGGAACATTTGCGAGGGGTTCCTGAATTTAAAATTTTGTAGCTTAGAAAAGCTTTATTAAAACATCCCTTCAGGGGCGCCTGGGTGGCTCAGGCAGTTAAGCATCCAGCTTTTGATTTTGGCTCAGGTCATGATCTCAGGGTCACGAGACAGTCCCACATCGGGCTCTGCACTCATCGGGGAGTGTGCCCAAGATTCTCTCTCTCTCTCTCTGCCCTTCCCCCTCCCCAAATAAACAAATCTTAAAAAAATAATCCCTTCACTGATGAATTAGAGCTGTTTGGCACATGTTGCCTAAAATTCACAATGTGAACAAAATATAGCATGAGAATTTATGACAAAATGTTCAGAACACTAAGTTAGAAAGTTACAGGAATAGGGAATTTGGTCCCACAAACACAATTACATGTTTACTTATATTCCATAAGGGATAAGTCTATAAGGATAAAATATGATGATGCTAAGTTTGTAAGTATGTTCATGTACAGTGACTTGTAGGGTTTCCTAATTTAAACAGTTTTCTGGCAATGCCTATATGATGAGGTGACATTTGAGCAGAATCACTGAAAGTGTATCATGCAAATACAAATAAGGGCAAGAGCATAGAGGAAACAGAAGATTGTCAGAATGGGAACATATTTACCGCAATTGTGGCTACCATATGTGGCTTGGTGAAATAGCAAGTTTCTACTAGAGACATTTAAAATCTGGGACTCCTTATAGTTAAAATTTTTAAAATTTTAACAAAATTTCCCAGAGTACTTAAGATGATATGTAATAGATCCAAAATAATGATGACCTGTTTGGAGAATGCACATATTTCTTTATGGCAGCCTTACCACTACCAAGAGAACGCAGGGGTGGGGTAATGAATTAATGTAAAGATAGTAAATACCATTTGTCAAAACTATCTGAGAGGACAGGTCGCCTGGGTGGCTCAGTCATTAAGCGTCTGCCTTCGGCTCAGGTCATGATCCCAGGGTCCTGGGATCGAGCCCCGCATCGGGCTCCCTGCTCTGCGGGAAGCCTGCTTCTCCCTCTCCCACTCCCCCTGTTTGGTTCCCTCTCTCGCTGTGTCTCTCTCTGTCAAATAAATAAATCTTTTTAAAAGGAGAGAGCAAATAATACAACCAGGAGTAATTATGAAATCTCTTTCATAATTATAAAGGGATAAAGTCACCAGAATGGCTTGAGAATCCTAAACCATGCACCCAGCAGCAGAACTCAAAAACCTGAAAAAGCGGACAGGACCACAATACAGACCAATCCAGTCACAGTCAAGAAATTTCCATGCCCCTTCTCTCCATAATAGAACAAGTAGACAGAAAATAAAGACCTAGACAATTGTAACATGAAACTGACCTAATTGACATTTACAGAGCCGTGAGATAACAGAAAATACATATTGGCTCTGCCTTTGCTTCCTGCACAGAGCTCCTAAAACCCTTATATTTTCCCAAGTGATAAGAGCACTAGGAGCATCTTTTGTTATAATGAGTCAACTCTGGGTGGGCTCCTAGGTGGGGCTGATCACCAGAAAAACCAAGCCATGATTAGAAGCTTGGGATCTTCAGCCCCATCCCCTCATCTACAGAGAGAG